ATACAGGACAAGTCCCTTAGAGATAACATATATCACACAGAATAGAATACACAACACACAGACACTTACCGCGGTCAGTCAGACTCTCCGGATCGGGGGTCCCTCGAGGGTCTTGGGGATCCCGGCGAGCCCCCAAATGTTATGCCCAGATTTCAAGATCCCCAATAGACCACACCAGGGAGCCAGCCGTGTCCGATGCAAAAGCATAAGAGTCTTTATTTCATACCTGGGTTTGGCTCCCCTACCCTCCTTACCAACTCAGCGGCAAGTGGAAAAGAGAGAGCCAGCCCTGTGGGGAGAGAGGTTTTATAGTAAGGGGAGGAGAGAGGACTGTGGGCCCTGCCGATTGGCCAGGCGCAAGTCGGTATCTCGTTACACAGGATGTGGTCGTATCTATGGCGTGCACTTCCCTTGTTTGTCATTGGTTAGTTTAAAGAAGTCCTGGGTGTGGCTAGCAGAGGCTTGGGCTTCCGGGAAGAAGCCTTGCCGAACACATGGCTGCCCAAAGATGGAGGACCCAGGGTAAGATGGAGGGCGTAGTTCTCGCCCTTTCAATACCAACCTTAAACAGTTGATTGAGAATGTGGCCCTGACACTGGGACACTCCATCTAATGGACACATACTCCTCCCTGCCTTCTATATTATCTCTGCTTTGATTCTTTGTTCTATGGAATACACTTTACCTTGATGTTTGAACCGGAAATAGCTTAAGCCACCTTTATGCTAAAACCAGTGACTTCAGTGGGGAAAAGAAGATTTAACTGCCAAACTGCCTTCTACCCCGAGAAGTTTCACTATGTGTTGAGGAATGAAGAAAAGAAATGGAGCCCAGCCTATGTGACTCAGTGGTTGAGCCAGGAACTAAGAGGTCACAGTTGAATTCCCAGTCACAGCACATATGTGCCGGGGTTGCAGGCTGGATTCCCAGGAAGGGGGTGTGCAGGAGGCAGCCAGTCGATGTTTCTTTCTCATCGATGTTTCTATCTCTCTATCCCTCTCCCTTCCTTTTGCTAAAAAAATCAGTTAAAATAACCAAACATATAAAAAAATTTAAAAAGGAAAGGAAATGGAAAAGAAAACACTAGAGAGGTCATTTATAGATTAAGTGAATATGCAGATTTTTCAAATTAATGCTCTTTCTCACAATAAACATGTTTTGTGACTTTATGCAACTCTCTGAAATATATTTTACAAGCTTTAGGAGTTAGCCTTTTCTATTTACATTAAAAGTCAGGAAAATAAAGGAAAAACTTGTAACTTATATTAAAAAGCAGAGCATGGTAAAATGTAATCTTACTAGAGAGCTCTGACTCAGCCTGATTAGTCACCTAAGAAGGTTCATTTTACATCACTGCACTTGTAGGTCCAAGGAGTTTGTTGCCTTTCTGTACAAAACCCTCTGTTCGTTGTTCCTTTTTAATTAAAAAGAATGAGATGATCCTTAATTGATTTTTAAACCACATTTCTCTTCTCTGGAGACATAATTTCTGATTCCACAGTCAGGAGTTTTCACCAGCTCTCCCATGAGGTCTTGGAGCCATCATGTGAAGAGGATTTCCCAAGCACTGTCTGATTTCTCAGAATTTTTGTGTCTAATCTATAGTAATAAAAGCGTGATATGCTAATTAGACTGGACGTCCTTCGGACGAAGCCAGGGCTGGGAGGGAAGCCCGGGGCGGAATGCCAGAGGGAAGCTGGTGCCAGCAGTCGGGGGAAAGAAGGCCTACTCTTGCACGAATTTTGTGCACAGGGCCTTTAGTATTAAATATTAGCTACTTTCTGTCTACTCTGGAGGCATAGGTACCTAGTGAAATAGACTCTGGCTAGATAAATATAGAACCAGAATATTAGAATTGGTAGAGACCTTGGAGTTTACCCTCCTGACCACTCATCCCCTCAGGATATTTTATGGATGATCAAACTGCTCCAGGGAGAGGAAAGATTTGCCCAAGGCCTCAGTATCTCAAAGGTCCAAGCAGCCTTAATTAAAGGTACCAAATCCCACTTCCCCTGTATCAGAGCCAAGGGCTAGAATTCAACCCTCTGACTCCTGGTACAGTGCTCTTCAGTCTCATCCTGAGACAGTACACTGGTGCTTCTGTTTTGCTGCTCAAAGCATCTTCATTTGCCTTCTGGCACTAGGAAGGAAGGGGGGAGTAGGAGAGCGGCACTCCTGTTCCTTCCTAGACTAACCTCATCAGCATCTTCTGGGAATGTGCTAGTAATGCAAAATCTTGAGTCCCAACCCTGACTTAATAGATCAAAAAGCCTCGGGGAAGGACCTAGAAAACTCCTTTAACAGGTGCTCCAGCTGATTCTGATAGACACTAGAAGTTGATGATGGTTTATAGCAGAAAATTCTGTACTAGAAAGACCTTTTGTTCACCTGGTCCTTCCTGTCCTCGAGAGAAATTCCAAGGCTGTGAGACAGTGGAATGAGCTCTGGGGTCAGATTTAGCCCTTCCACAGCTGATTGGTGATGTCTCCTATCTTTAAGCCTGTGTTCTCATCTATCAAATGGGAAAATAACCCCCTCTACCAGTCCCAGGGGATTGTGGTGAAGATTAAATGTGAGGTTGGCTGGTAAACTGCTTTCTAAAAAACAGTGTGCTGTGATTTTGTGAGGGATTGCTAAAGTTTGTATCTAGATTGCTACTTTTAGCTTTGAAAAAAAACCTCTCATATTGCCTAGCTCTACATGGACGGTAGTCAGCCCACCAACCAGGGTGAACTCTTAATAGATGATGCTTATTGGAAACTTCTGCCCTGAGTCTTGGGTTCTGATGAGTGGTTGGAATGGAGCTCAGCACCTCAGGAGTCGCCAGCTAAAATTCGTCATACTCAGTAAGTTTGCTATCCCCTTATTAAATTGCTAAGGAGGAGCTTGTTTGTTTTTAACTGGGAGTCTTTTTCATTATCCCACAAACTACAAAATACAGTAGACCGTTAGAATGGTCCCCTCCCTTAAAGATTCAGGGCACTGAATATTAAAAGTAACAGGAAATCCTGCCTCGGAAATAAGTGAGTTGTACTGAAATTTCTATTCCTTTGCTTTCGCACTTAACTTTCTTGAACCACTGAATTTTAAAATTAGAAGAAATCTGAATAATCATCAATTCTATTTTCTTAACTCCTTATAGAACTCTTATCTATCATATTCCCAACATTTTGTCAATTGCCTCCCTTTTGCACTTTTCTGGTAACCAGGAAAGTAGTCCATCCCATGAGAATAATTCTTGCTCTTTGAATGCTCTTCCTTCTGTTGAACTGAAATCTATCTTCCTATAGCTTCCCATCCCCTCTTTGCCTCTAGCTTTACATTCTAGAACAAAATGGAATTGATATTCTCTTAATAATAATAACAAAACAATAATAATATCAGCTAACATTAAAATTATAAGTAAATCTTTCAATTTCTGTAAACAATTGAGTTTCTGGAGAAATAAATTATTATAAAGTCCTGAATACCTTAGATTCAGTCTTGATTATAGTTAGAGAACAAAGGCTAGAAGCTTTAATAGCAGGACTTTTTGAAGGACACAAGTGTTTTTAAGAGGGTAGAGCACTGAATTAACCATTAATTTTTGTTTACATAGATAAGAGGAAACACTAGTATGTAATTACATACAATTTATCATTGAATTTAAGTTAAAGCTATACTTACTCTGAATCTTTCCTCATAAAGTTGGGTTTCTATGTTTATCAAAAGAACCAGAGTTTCCAAATGTTTAAATGTTTATTTTAGTAATTCCACAGGATCTCAATTTGTAATCTTGAATTGTTATAGGGCACTACATTTGTTAGAGTGTTTGTTGTAGAAAACAATATTCACTTAAAGTTATAAGTTTCTGTTTGTCAAAGGAAGTGGATTTTTTTTAAATCCTCACCTGAGGATATTTTTTCCATTGAATTTTTAGAGAGTGGAAGGGAGAGGGACACCAATCAGTACAGTCAGTATGGTTTTGGATTCTTCTCCACGACCACCCCTCCAACCTGACACACACCCCATTTTGCTGCAGATTCAGAATTAGAGTTTTGTCAGGTGAGTACAAGGAAAGGAGAGCAGAACTGGAGAAATGAAGGTTAATATCTGGGAATGATTTTGATGATGGACAGTAGAATCTAAGCTGTTCATGAAAGGAAGTGAGGGCATAGGGTAGTGTGAGGAGTAGTGAAAGGTAGTAGGATCAATGGGTTTCGAGTCTTAGTGGAGTTGAAGAATTTTTGGAGTTGGGTGTTAGAGGAAGAGAGTGAGAAAGGAAGGAGTTTGTGGTGGGAGAGTTGGATGATTAAAATAGAGATTTTAGAGGGGTTACAATTATTGGTAATGAAAAGATCTAAGGTATGAGTGTGGAAATGAGAGGCTGAGGCAAGGGTGATCACTAAAGAAGAGGAATTTGAGAGGCCAGGGCGTTGGAAGAATCATCTGAGAGAATTGAAATCCCTAAGAATTAGGACAATTCCTAGGGCACTAATTATTAAATCCATAAGAATAGTAATTAACAACAATGAACCAGAAGCACAGGAGTCTATCTGTGACTGAAATGAATGAGTGCTGTAGTCTCCATAATGACGTAATATTTAAAGCTCTTTATTTTTAGTGTATATTTTTTATTGATTTCAGAGAGGAAGGGAGATAGAAACATCAATGATGAGAATCATTGATTGGCTGTCTCCTGCATGCCCCCCACTGGGGGGAGGGATCGAGCCCACAACCCAGGCAAGTGCCCTTGGCCAGAATCGAACCTGGGACCCTTTAGTCCGCAGGCCAACGCTCTATCCACTGAGCAAAACCGGCCAGGGCAGCTCTTTATTTTTAAAGGGCGAATAGGATTTGAGGGGGCAGAAGTCCGAGGTGGGGTGCCTGGTCCAGACTCCACGGAGGAGTCTGCGCAGTGAGAGTGGAGGCGGGGCCAAGCTCGGGCTCGTGTGCGAGGGCGGGGCCTCGCGGGGGCGGAGTCTGCGCTCTGGGTCCGCCGCCGCCGCCGCTGCCGCCGCTGCCGCCGCCGCCGGGGTGCAGAGCTTCCAGCTCCAGCGGGAAGGAGGCCGCGGCCTGGGCCGAGCCTGGAGCCGCCGCAAGCCGGAGCCTCCTGGAGCCCCCGCGCCGGCTGCACCTGGGGGCGGGCTCAGGCCCGGCCCGCCGCCGAGCCCCGGACCGAGGCCGCATGCCCGAGGACCAGGCTGGCACAGCCATGGTGAGGGAGCAAGGCCTGCCCGAACCGCAGTCGCCCGCCGCCCCGGCCCCCGCAGGCCTGCCCTGCCCTCGCTCCGGTGCCCCCCTCCGCGCCCCGTCTGCCCCTTCACCCCCCGTGACCGCCCCCTCGGGGGCCCGCTCCTCCTCCCGGGGGCTCCCGGCCACCTGCCGGGTGACATCCCCCTGTTCTCTTTCCTCCCAGCTGACACCCGTTTTTGTGTTTTTGTTTCTCTTCACCCTCCGTGACAGCCTCCTTCGCGTTCCCCGAGGCTGCCCCCTCCTCGTCCTTTATTTAACCCGACCTTCCTTTTCTTCTCGACCGTGTTGCCTGTAATTGTCTCTCTTCGGGGAATCGCTACGACTTACCTCTTTTCCTCCCCGTTTTTCGTTCCTGCTCTTTTTGCTCTCGCTTCTTGCCCCCTTTCACCATTTTACCCCCCCCCCGCCCCCTCCTGTCCGTATCATCACCTCCCTGCGCCCTCCACCACCCTCATTTCCTCCCCCCGGTACCGGCCATCCTCGCTCCCCGTCTCTAACAGCCGCCCCCTTTCCTCCTCGGGATCTCAGGGGTCTAAGCAGGAACAATGTGCAGGCGATCGCTCCCCCGGAGAGGTAGGGCGGGCAGTTGGGAATCGGTGGCTTTTCTTCTCGTCGAGGGGAAGGGCGATGGACGTATGGGAGAGGGCCTCGCCGCCTTACTGCCCTGGTGTCACTGCCAAACCGAAGGGACAGGGTGTTTGGGAGCGATGGTGTGCGGCCAGCAGGCATTCGATCTGACCTTACGAGATAGGCAGCCTTTGGACAGAAATCACTGAAAATGTTTGGGGACGCATTTTTATTTTGAGGGCTTCTTAACGTGGAGGTACAGTTTGGAAAATTTCCAGGTATTTACAGATTTGACTATTCCTCAGAACAAATGGTGTGTTTTCACTTGGAGACAGAGACCAGGGCTTCTACAGACTGAAAATCAAGGTTGGCAGTCAGATACCTCCTCATGCCTGCCTTTGGTGTGCCCTCTCTGAATTTGGTTGGGAGACTCTCATATTTGCAGTTTTTCTCCTTCCTGTTTCAAAATAGGTTGGGGTTTCAGTTGGTTTTTCATTGAGTTGGGTCACACATATTTCTCCATCATATGCAGTCATCTATATTTTGTTTTTTGGGGAGGAATAAGACATTCTAGTCAAATCGAAGTCCTGGTAATCATGTTCTCCTAGGAGGCTAGTTAATTTCTATTTTTTTCTCCCCATCCTTTTTTTAGGAAAGTGGTTTATAATGAAATAATTTAATTTGTGAACTTTTTCTAACTCACTGACTCTGCATTTTTGGGTTGTCATTCTCCTGTATCTGCCTCCACGACAACCTTCACATTCACAACCGATCACACTGTCATTGTGTTAACCTATTTCTCCCCCTGAGATGTGAGTTATTCTAGACAGCAATAGTGCTTTACTTCTTTCCAGCGCCCACTTCAATATAATAAGGATATGTTCTGAGAAATGCATTGTTAGGTGATTTTGTCGTTTGATCATCATAGTGCACTTACACAAACCTGGTGGTATAGCCTACTACACACCTGGGCTCTATGATATATACGCCATTGTTGTATGTGCAGTACAGCATTGATCCAAATGTCGTTTGTTATGCAGTGCATGACTGTAGTAGAGATGTCGAAGACAGGGGCATTCAGACTTTACCATGAATCAAAATTAACCGGAGAGCTTGCAAGCTGCCATCTCCAGCGTTTGATTTATTAAGTCTGGAGTAGAGCTTGAGAGTTTGCATTCCTAACAAGGAACCTATGTCACGCTGATGTTCCTGGTCTCTGAGCCACTAGTCCAAGATACAGTCCTAACAAGTAACCCAGCAAATTGATGTTTCTCTCTCTCCTTCTCTCTCTAAAAAAATCAAATAAAAGCCTTAAAGAAATCAATCAATCAGGGCAAGCTATAAAGTGATGTATGTGTGTATGTGGCAAATGTTTTAGTTAGTATGGTTAGGCAGCAACATTATTAGCTGTTATTTATTGAGCATGACTGTATAGGCCCTGTTTTAAGTGACTTACATGTTTTATTTCATTTATCCTCATAGCAACCCAATGAGATAAGTACTAGGTCTATGAATGTAGAGGCCATGTTTATTTGGCTCATCATTGAATCGTTAGCATATACATAGTGCCTCATGCATAAGTGCTCAATAAATATTTCTTGAATGAGTGAATGACTTTAGGCATGATCAGAAAGAGAGGAAGGCTTGGTTGAGAAGGGGACATTTGAACTTAGGTCTTAATAGGTGGGGCTTTATTGGGTAAGAATTTGGGAAGGAAAGTCATTCCTGGCAAAGGTACCAGCTTGAATGTGGAAGCTGAGACAGAGCAGGCATGATGTATTCTGGGAAATGTGTGACTCAAGATTGAGGGTGTAGTAGGAGATGAGACTAGGTGAGCCTACTGTCAGATCATGGAGGACCTTGAATCATAGATTCAGGAGTTTTGACCTCATTGTCAAGACCCTGAGTTACCTTGAAAGGTTTTTTATGTGTGAAGGGATGTCATAATTAAGAGATTTGAAGGGATGATCACTATAAATCAATATGAAGCATGGTTTGGGGTGGGAAGAGCTATTGTACTCCTCTGGGTGAAAAATAAGTATGTGAACTCTCTCCCTAGCCTTGTTTTGGTGGTGGTGATTTAAATTGGAGGAAGAAGAATATAGGGATATGAAATATGAAGATCCGGCACACCAATTTTAGTGAATTTTCCATAGAGACATTACTATGGAGTTGTACAAAAAACACAGAATCAGTAACAGTTTTGCAATTCTGCTCACTAGGCCTCAGTTTTCATATGTGTGCGGCCTTTAGGAATTTATGAGAATATTAAAACAAAGTAAATTTACTATACCAAAGTCCTTTATTTACAAACAATAGGTCTCCCAAAGGTCATCAGTGATGGCGAACCTTTTGAGCTCGGCGTGTCAGCATTTTGAAAAACCCTAACTTAACTCTGATGCCGTGTCACATATAGAAATTTTTTGATATTTGCAACCATAGTAAAACAAAAACTTATATTTTTGATATTTATTTTATATATTTAAATGCCATTTAACAAAGAAAAATCAACCAAAAAAATGAGTTCGCGTGTCACCTCTGACACGCGTGTCATAGGTTCGCCATCACTGTATTAGGTCATGTAGAGAGAATCAGCACTTCCCAAACTTACTTAATTTTTTAAAATTTATTTATTTTAGAGAGAAAGGAAGAGAGAGGACGAGGGAGAGAAAGAGAGACACATTGATGTGAGAGCAGAACATTGGCTGCCTCCTGCGTGTCCCCTACTGGGGATCAAGCCCTCGGGCATGTGCCCTAACCAGGAATTGAACCGCCAGTCTTTCTGTGCCCAGGATGATGCCCAATTAACTGAGCCACACCAGCCAGGCGGCATACTTATTTAATTTTAAAAATATTTTTTGTGTGGTATGAGAAGGGAGTGATTTTAAGTCAAATATATTTTATTTTAAATTATATGTATAATTTATTTAATAATACATTGAACAAAATACATTAAAACAAATTTCCTCTTCCTGTTTAACAAATGACACATTAACATGAGATAAATCATTATTTGTCATATTTTAAAATGAATATATATTACAATGTAGAATGAACTTAATTACGTTTATGGCATCAAAATAGATAAGAACTGACTTTTTAACCTTAAATTTGGAATTCTTGTGTTTTTGTATTAAAAACAACAGGTTTTTATAATTGTTCTGTTTTGTTTCTAAATGACAAACTAAAGGGAATGTTTCCAGGCTGCTACTTGAATGCCTATCTCCATAAATAAAACATTGGAAGCATGGATGGTTTATTTCCAATAAAGGAAGATCCTAATTGGATATAACTATCACCACATTTTTATTTTTAATGCTTAAAAAATACTAAGCTATCTTGCCCTGGCTAGTGTTGCTCGTTTGGTTGACCTTTGTCCTGTGGACCAAAAGGTTGCTGGTTCGATTTCTAGTCAGGGCACATGTCGAGTTTGGGCTATATCCCTGGTAGGGGGCATGCAGGAAGCAGCTAATTGATGTTCTATTCTCACATCCATGTTTCTCTCTCCCTCACCCTTCCTCTCTCTCTAAAAATCAATTAAAAAAAAAAACAAATACTGAGCTATCTTAATGTAGTACCATTTAAGAATCCTGATCAGATAAATTCATTCATTTACTCATTTCATCATCAGTGTAGCTAATGTTTCTTGTCTTTAACCAATAGTTCATTATAAGAATAAAAATAATTTTAAACTACTGTGATGTTCAGTGTTCAGATGAAGTTATAACAATTGAACCACTATAATGTTATGAGCCAGTCTCCTAATTTTTATTAATTCACTTATGTGCAGTAGAAAAAATTTTGGGTATTCTCAAACTATTCTGTTTTTAAAGGAGAAAAAAATGTAATAATTATTTTATTAAATGGTTAAAAATATACATATTGAGATAGACATCAGTATTGAATTTAATGATGTGGGCCATTGGGAAGTGCTGGTTAGACCACTACTTTTTTCATTGGTTCTAAAGCTAGCCCTTAAAAACACATTTAACCAATAAGTGGCAAAAATAGTCATCATTTATTGTGGAATAAAAGACATCTTTAATGTGAATGGTAATTAAAATAGAAAAATAATGTTAAAACAAAGTTCTTGAATACTGGGACATTTATTTAGAGAAGCATGATCTCATACACAGCTTTTATTTAATGAGCACACAGTGTGTCAGATGGTATACTAATTAATCTTCACAGTCCCATAAGGTTGATAATGTTTTTTCATTGCACACATAAGAATACTGAGGCTTTGAAAAATCAAATAACTTTCCTGAGATCATAAAGCTATTAAGTGACAGCAGGATTCAAGCACAGGATTGTCTGACCCCTAAGCCTAGGCCGTTTCAAACACATTCCTGGGCTCTTATGTGGTTGTAGGAATCTAAACTGAATTCGAGCATT